CTATGTTTTTCCTTCAAGAAGATTTCTTCAGGCTTAAGTCTAAGTCTGACTTAGACTTCAGACTAAATCTGAAGAAATCTTTTCAAAGGATGAAATGCATTGCATAAGATTGTTCCAATTTGTCATTCAATTACCCACATTTAATCTGAAATTCTAGATCCTATTCTCTCTAGAAATAGAATAAGATATGACTTATGCTTATAATTTTTCTGTATATTCTGTTCTGAAAATTCTGAAATATCAGAGTTTACAACACTTTTACTGGATTTCTACAATTTATAAAAATAAATGCGGTAAAAATTCTGAATAAATGTATTTGCAATGATTCAGAATTAAAAGGAAAAAAATCATAAGGATTAAAAATACATTCTGAGTTCTTTAGTAATTCCAGTTAGTTTTTTTTTTGTTATTAACACAGAAGAAGAAAAGGTTGAAATTTATCAGAATTTAAAAAGGCCTTTGAAGATATTTGTGAATACAACTTCTAGGTAAAGTTCATCAAAATACAAAAAAAAAAAAAATTTAACTTTCAAACAGCAGATCCTAATAGCTAAATGATAAAAAAAACCTAATTGATAATAATCCCAAGTCATCTAATTGATAATTATAATTAATATAATTTTAATTTATAATGAGATGAAAAAATATTGATAATTATATGATTATTTGATGATGAGTTGTAAAAATATAAGATTACTAAAAAAGGCCAATCTGTCTGAAATAAGGTTGTATTAAAATTTAAAAAAATATATGAAAAGACAAATAAAACAACATTGCCAAATTCCTGTGAATAAGGAAGTGAATGCATTGAAAATGGATGAATGCCTGGAGGAAATTTCAAACAAGATTATTTAAAAGATTAATAGAACTCCACTAAGATTTTTTTTTCTTCAAGGAATTTGGTTCAAAGCAAGAATGTGAACATAAATGAATTTCAATTTTGGTTTTGTTTTTGCTTTCTATCATTGGAAATTTTAGAATAAAAGACTTGCTCAATTTTTTTGTTTTCTAATTTCCTATTTTGACTGAAGAATATCAATATGTTGATATGTTGGAAAGTTTTCAATCTGACCCACTTCTCAAAAATCTGACCAAACAATTATTTTCTTAATTGTACTGAAAACTTTTCAGCATCCCCTCATATTTGAAGGTCTTTGAATAGATTAATAATAATAATAATAATAAAAAGATCAACCAATTCATGTGCCCATTTCTCTGCATTAATTTAATGAATTGGGTTCACTGATTTTAAATTAAAGCCAGAAAAAAATAGTGCATAATTCTACAAAAATGGATTATGTTGATATACGTTTTCTGAGATTAAATTCTATGAATATTTCCTTTTTATGATGAACAAATTTCTTTATAAATTGGTAAATGATAAATATTGCATTAATTTTAATGCAGTTGTATTAGTTTTTAGAACATTGCAAATATAAAATTATTCTTGTAAATAATCTAATAAAAAATAGTGTTTAATATTTTTGTTGTAAATTCTCAAGATCAAAAAATGTACAAATTCACTTTTTTAGTACAATTTTAATCATCACTTTTTAAAACAAACGTTGAGTGAAAGTATTTAAAATAATGGTGGTCTCAAGAGAAAAATCATGCTTTTGACTCACCACTTTCTTTTTGTGGGCACAAAGGTTAAAGATTGCCTATTTTTTAATTCTTAAATGAAGTGATGTCTATTACAATTTTTCTTTCATCCTACTTTCAGGTGCTTTTTACATCTCTCAGACCATTATTTTCTACCTGCATTGCATAATAATAAAGTACATAAAATGATGGTTTAATCATTTTGATAAAAACAAAAAAAAACAAAACAAAAAAAAAAAAAAACAAGTGAAATTAATCCGAAAGAAATATGTGCTGAAAAATTAATAACTTAGCATACTTCATCTAATAAATTCAAGAAAATATATAACTTCTAACACTGGAAGTGTTTTTAAATAACAATGGCAATATATTAAACAGCTGGAAACAATAAGGATTGATTCTGTTAAAAGGCCCCTCAAACTCTTGTGGATCATTTCATGCCAAATTGATTGTGTTGTAAACATGTTTTATAGTTGGTCAAGTATGGATGAGAATAAGTTTTGTAGTTCTTCAGATATGGTTGAAAATTTTATAGTTTGTTAGGTATGATTGAAAGAAACATCCTCTCAAGTGTGGTGTAGAAGTTTTTAAAACAATAAGGAATATCTATAGGGTTAGGTTAGAATGACTGAAAGGCTGACATGATCTAATTGATAAGGCAGCTGTTGCACAGACAGATGTCGTGAGGAAAAAGAATGCAAGTTTGAGACTTGCAGGAGGGTTTTTTTTTTTTTTTTTTTTTTTTTTTAAATCTTCATTGCTTACACATAATTGTTGAATGATGATCTAAGAATTGTGAATAAAACAAAAAAAAAAGAAAAATAACTACCAAAATTAGGTTGAAAGAAATCCAAGTCAAAAAATAAGAATAATAATGAGTTTTAATATAATAAGTAACTATATAACTATAATAATACAAATTGATAAGACCTATCAAAATACAGAAAAATTACTAAAATTTAATGTATTTTAAGTCAAAGAAAAAGTTCTCAATAGTGAATCAGAGCGACAATAATCAATAAACTAAAGTGCAACTGACTTGTCTCTTGATTTAAAAAAAATTCACAGAACATTGTTTGTCAAGGTTAGAGGGTTCAACAAATCTATTGATTTATTACCAGTTATCATATTTATAGTCTACATAATAAATGCTATTTGAAATTTGTGTTAAGCTAGATTCCATTAAGAACATAACATTTAAATATTCAGAAGCAGCATATTAGTATATTAAAATTTAAAAACAACATATTTTTTAAATAAAATTTCAACATTATGAAATATAATTTTGCAAATTTTCTAAGATCCATTTTTTTACAAAATTATATTTAATAATGTTGAAATTTTTAATTATGAGATTATATATATATATATATATATATATATATATATATATATATATATATATATATATTATATATATTCATACATGAGATCACATGAAAATTGGGAGTCTAATGCCAACTATGTGGATGTCATTTCTGACAGGCCTGTAGGGTATTATGTTAGTTTTGTGATAAAATTTGCTGGTCTGTTGTTGAAACGGCACATAAGAGTGTACGATAAGAATATCACCTTTCCAAATTCTCCAAAAGCCTTTCATGTGTCACATATATAAAAAAAGGTATGCAGGAGTGAAGTTGTCATGCAAAGTCATTTGTGGGTCCATGGCCACACATCTCAATGTTGTGGAGATGCCCTTCTTCTGTAAAGAAGTGGCAGTTTTATATATATATATATATATATATAATAAATAAATGAAAATACCACAATTTCTTTTCACCATATCTCATTCTCTGATGAAGCTTTAATAAAAGTGAAACATGTTAGATGGATAAATGTTTCCTATTTGTTCTTTATCTTATTCTGTCAGATTCTGATCCATATTTGAATCAAACATATATATATATATATATATATATATATATATATATATATATATATATATATATGAATATATGAATTTTAAATTAAATATAGTAATGTTATATTGCTCTTGAATATTTAAATGCGGTTATGTTTTTAACGGATTCTAGCCTAGTCAAATTTGAAATTTTTGGGAGAGTCTATGACTAACATTTATTATATAGAGTATAAAATATGATACATGATATCATTAAATTTATTGGACCCTCTGACCTTGAAGAGGGGTGTCTACGAAGCTGTGAAATTGGTCACAAATTAAGTTGAATTCATTTTTATTAATTTATTAACTATAATAATACAGTTGCTAGCATATGATAATAATAATAACTTGAAGGTATTACAGGTTTGAGAAGATAAATGAACAAAATAATTGTAAGAGAAATAGAGCCCCTTCCCTCAAATGAAATACATTTTATTTCATCTATAATAAAATGTTAATTCAACTCTTCTCTCTCTTTTCTCTCTACAAAAAAGAAATTATGGATATATTTGAATTTGTGTAATATTCAAGGCCAATAAACTCCTAGAAGCAAGAAAAAAAAATCTTTGTTAAAACTTCTAGGAATATTTTCTTCCTATTTGCAATCCTTTCCATAAAATATAAATAATTCTTGGCTTTTACCATTTTGGCTTTGTAAGATCTTAAACAGAATAATAAAAAAAATATGTTAACAGACTATGAGGCTAAATAAATAAATTTAATGGCGGAAATTTAATATTTGGAATGCGGAATTTGTTTTGGACATTCCAGTCAATGATACCATAAATTTTTTTCAGATACTGTATATACTCACATCTCATGTGACTTTTGATGACCTAATCTTGAAGTTAATTTTAAGGGGGTTACTTCATACATGAGATATAAAATTAGCATATGTACTTCTGGCCCTGGCTATGCCGTTGACCAAAATACATATCCATTTACTGTAGTCAAAAAGTACAGCTGCTTTTAAAATAAACATGATTTTAATAAAACTGATGTTTTACTTAACTGTATCAAATAACAATGCATGTAATATTCACATATTTGTATTGTATTATAAAATACAAGTCAGTTAATTATGTGCCATGCATGATACATGTGTAGGCAATCATGTATCTTTCAATACATGACTGACGAGCCAGATTTTTTCCCACAGTAGGTTGTCATTTCTTTCTGTGGTAGACCAGTTGCCATCCAAGGCTATAGAACCTGGTCCATCCTGACCCATAGCTGACGGGAGAAGAAGAAGATTCATACCTTTCCCAAGAGTATTAGCACGTAAGTGAATGTAATGGATTTGACTGGAATTTGAACTCGGCTCTCTGATTCCTCAATCCAAGCTTCTATCCATTACAAAAACAGCGAATATGCATCTTTTTCATTGTTTACATTTATAAGATATTTAGCTGTTTCTCTTTTGTTTTTTATGGCTGTACGCATTTACGCAACGAGTATAGCATTACTAACGATACTGTAGAAAAAATATTTGAGG